AGCAGGAACAAAGTTGTGTCAGGGCTGAACCCTAGCATTCTTAAAAGGATGATGTCTGCTTTCTCATGCTGGTCAGCAGCTTGTGTTGTCCTTTCCCAAACCACATAACACTGGAGAACCCAAGTGCCATATGCTAAGTGTTTCCAGTGCCCTTTTATTTTTACAGTATGACAAAACTGTGCAGGGAATTCACCCCTTAGATTTGCAGCCGTGGGGGAAAGCTGAGAAAGCTCGGGCATGGTCTTCTCAGATATTTTTCCAACTGGATCCCGTGGTGTATCACCAGCGGTGACTGATGTTGTTCCATCATGACCTAGGCAACCTTCTCAATATGCCTGAGAAATAGTCCTCTGCTGGGTATCTGCAGGGCAACAGTTTTGAAGCTTGGTTTATGTCATTCCCACACTGTGACAGATTCTTCATACTGAAATATGGCTTAGGACCAATCCCAAGATTTGCCCCAAGGATTTGGAAGCAATTTGATACCAGATGTTCTAGAGAAATTTCTCTTTATTTAGCAGAAGTCTAGTAGACTTAGAAATGCTAGTCCTTGCAATGGTCTGTCTGTAGACCTTCCAGTGAATGTAGGAATGCTAATTAGTCACCATAAGTGGCACCTATAAGAAAAAGACACAAGTTACACTGTTACAGGGTTATGTGAATGCCTGTTGGATCCCATGACCAGCCCTTAATCGCTACTGCTTTTGAAGTGCCTGTGCTAGGCTCTGGTCAGTGAAAGATATTCGGAGCTCCTCTATCCTGTTTTTCGCAGTGAGGGTGTGCAGAGGATAGTGATGGCCGAAAGATTTGATCTCAGTGTGCAAAGTGAGGATGCTCCACGGGGTTGGAGTATACTGAAGCAGGTGACTGGCAAGAAATTGTTTTTCTTCCATTTTTAAACCACCAATCTTCTGTTTTATTACAGTAATTAATTTACTAGCTGAATGCAAATTGTGAGGCCATTCCCCTGATATGAGCATACTAGAACTCTGAAATGTTTTCTTTTCAGATACGATATTTAGTCAGTATTTCTGCCAGAAAAATAAGCATTGTGGATACTCTTATTCCAAGAGGAGCCAGAATAGCATCTTTCTCTAGTTGTTGCTTGGCTTATCTGAGCTTGTGCCCATAGAAGAAAATTTAGATCTGGAGTCTTCTGTGTGGCTGGTAAGGATCACATAGTGGTCCTTTGCAGTTGTTTCCGTATAAGGTTGATTTTGCTGTTCCCTCACTTCCCTCTTCTAAGGAGCAATCCTCTTCTAGAAGATATGTAATTAGTCTTATTTTCTGTAAACGAGCTCTGAAGCTCAGATTGAATCCCCACCCTCATCAGGTGAGGAGGCTCCGTGGCATCCTAGAATAGAGTTGGGGAAAAAAAAGAGGAAAAGAGCAGAATTTGAGGCTGTCTTAAAGCTAGTTTAAATCTACAACCCAACATTAAAACCTGATGGTAGTCTGGAATTGCAGAGAGAATACCTTGTGTGGAGAACTCTGCAAAAGTTTTCCCCATTTAGATTCAGCTGACTGCTGATTACTGTTGCTGTCCTGAAGGACTTCCTGGGCAGAAAGGTTTAAAGCTAATGAATATTGTTTTCACATACTGCATTTGAGCTTTCAACTTAAGGTGAGCTTTTTAGAAAGGAGGACTGCACTTGCAGAGGGTGTAGCCTTCACACTCACAAATCTACATCATCATCAGTGGTATAAGCTAGGACATACCCTCTGTTGATCTAAGGACTTCTTGGGTTAATGAAAGAAGTCAAAGGCTCTGCAGAAAGAATGATTAAAATGCCATGCTATGCAGTACATAGCATGTTAGTCTTTTCTAGTGCATCTAAAATGACATTCAGATTACTTAAACTGACTGCAACTTAGTGAATCTGATCCCTGGGGTAGATGACTAAATTTAAATGCCAATGTTTTAATAAACGTAATGGGGAAATATCTATAAATCAGTTCTGTGTTTATTTTGGTTTATTTTTCTTACCGTGGAATTGACTACATTTGAGGACCTTGAAATGAGGTCAGTCTGAGTCAGAATGCTTATGCCAGCATTACTGGAAATGTTTCACCTTGCTCCATGGGGTTGGGATATAGGTTCCTTGTCATCTCTGCCTACTAATACTTGTGAACTGTTGAGAAGAAGGAATTGTTCTTGCCACAGAGATATGTTAGCTGATGTTGGTACATGTTATATCTTTCAGGTTTCTCTGTGACAGTCAGAAGGATTTGGATGAGCTGCTGGATTGCCTGCACCCACAAGGAGTAAGAGAGAGCCAGCTAAAGGAGCGTTTAGAGAAAAGGTGAGCCTGCTTTTTTTTTTTTCTTTTTTTCCCTCTTCCCCTCTGTGTACCTTCTCAAACTCAAAGCGTATCCACGTCACAGCAAGCCTTTCCGTTCCTGGGGCAGCATTCTGCACTTTGCTTTGATTGTGCCTGTGCTGAAGAAGGGAGGATATTGAGGATGAGAAATTGTTGTTTTTCTTGGGCAGTAACTGCAGGTTCTTGATAGGTAATGCTCTAACTGTGAAGAGGTTCTGTTAGTCTTTAAATTGCTTCTTGCAACTGGAAACAAAGGCAGTGCTGTTTCACTCACAGAGCCAGAACTACCACGTGCTTTCAAGCACCTTTCAAGGAAGGTTCTGCGCTGGCGGAGCGTGTAGATCACAATGGTTACCATTGTTGCTCCAAGTGCCCACACAGCTCGCAGAGCCATGGCCTGCATGTATTTCAAAGGTTGTTTTTGATTTTCCAGATATCAGGACATCACACATTCTATCCATTTGGCTCGGAAACAGAACTTGGGCCTTAAATCCTGTGATGGCAACCAGGAACTGCTGAACTACCTCCGAAGTGATCTAATTGAAGTTGCAACTAGACTGCAAAAAGGAGGCCTGGGATATGTTGATGTGACACCAGAATACGAAGCAAGAGTGAGTGAACAGGCAAAATAGTGCTGAGCAAGACAAGCGCAAGCTCATACTTTCTGTGGAAGGTCTTGAGTCTTTTGTCCTCCTCAGACAAGAGGATCAGGAAAATCGTTTTTCTCATGTGTCCTCTCTTTCTAAACTATTGTTTCAAGATTACACCGCTGCTGGCTTGAGGTCCTTCTGGTATAGGTGGGTTATAATGTTGGAGCTAGGTGTCCTGCACAGCTGTTAAATTGTCCTATTTCCTTCAGCTAGTGATGGACTTCTTTATGGAGCATTAGCGGAACTCTTTGTAGCTGATTTTTTTAGCTTCTGCATCAAAGCCAGCATGTCTTGTTGAGACAGCAGTTTTCCGGTTTGAAGGTTTGGTTTTTTGGGGTTTTTGTGGGTTTTATTTTTAGTTTGTCGTTGTGTGTTTTTTGGTTTTTTTGTTTTTCCATAAATTCAGACCACTTTAGGCTTGGGGTAATGATTGTGTCCCAGTTCCAGGACCTAAAGGATGTTCTGTTCATGGGTGTGCCTGCACAAGGAAGTTACTGTGCAGTGAGCTAAAGTATTAATTTTTAGTGCTCTGGCTAGCTCAGCCTAACTCACATGAGCATTATGCGTGCACAGGGGATAAACCTGCTTGGTGTGGGTAGAGTACACACTCCTGTGAGTAGTGCCTGCTCCTCCTACCCAATGACATTGTCTGGCTTGGAATGGTTAAAGCTGTGTTTAAGCTGCATCCTAAGTCGCTGCAGAGACTACCCCTTGTAGATGAGACCATAAGGGTTAAGAGGAGGGGAAGAATGGCTTAGTGCTTGGTCATCGGATTTGGTTTTTTGGGGGGTTTCGGTGTGTTTTGGTGGCTTTTTTTCGAGGCATGATGCTTTTTTCTGACCAGTGCCATGCATGATCATCAGCTACGTATGAAGGCTAGCAGAAGCAGCAGCAATATGCTAATTCCATAACCAAGTACGGTAGATAACAACACTACATTAAATATCACGTATCCATTTGCAGGACAGACCCACCTAAAACAGCACAAAGAGTAACATCCAACTGTTACATGATCATATGCTCTTTCTTCCTAACAGGTATGCTCACTAGAGAGCTTGAAAGATTTTGGAGAGTGTGTGATTGCACTCCAAGCTGGTGTTGTTAAGAAGTTTCTGCAAGGTTTCATGGCCCCCAAGCAGAAGAGAAGGAAACATCAAGGAGAAGACTACATTGCCAAGGCTGAGGAGATAGATGAAGACAAGAAAATGGCAGAAGAAGCTAAGGTATTGTTCACTTCAGGGCTCTGTTTTGGTCTTCTAATGTAACTCTTTGAGCAGGGACAATACATTTCATCAGTTACTAAATCCTGAGCAGCTTCTCCCCATTCCAGGTTTGGAGTGCAGTGGTTTTGTCATTTATGGGGCTAGGTGTTCCCTCTTTATTTTGAAGAGTAAAGGTATTGGCAAAATGAAAATCATACTAAGGAATTACAGTTAATTTTCTCTGTGTGAACAGGAAATGGGTCAAAGTCAAATATTTGACTTCCTTCGTGCAGTTCCACGCACAAGTTGGGTACTTTAGTAAAAGTATATTGTGGAGAATTCTTGCAGAACTTAACAGGAGTTGTATCCATCAGAGAGGACTGATGGTGGCTTAATGGCTTTGACCCATAAAGAGAAGGAGAGACATGTTGAGATTTTGGTGACTGCAAGGGAGTTAGGTTCAGGTAAATATCAGCGTTATGCAAGAAGAGACACAAGTCATCATGTGTATGGAGACACCCACAGAAGATGCCAAGCTGTGGGTTGCACACAGCTTGCCTGGATAACTGGGCAAACAAGCTGTTTGTACCTGCAGTAGAAAAGTGGTATTGTGGGGCTATGTATTTAGCCTTCCAAATCAAAGCTCAGAAGGGATGGAGGAGAGCTGTGGAGGATTTGGTAGAGACTTGCAGGCAGCAGAGCTGTACCAGTGTTTCATCCTCAGAGGGATACTGGTGCTCGGGGGTAGTTTGTGTGCTAAGTCGAGTGCCCCATGACAAGACTTTCCTTACTGCCCCCTTCAAAGTGCTCTGCCCTGATTGATCACTGACTTCAGCAGTAGCAAGATCAGAAGTGGATCAACAGAAGCTTGTGAAATTCCTGACTTAAGAAATATTAGATGCTGGACTGGTGCTGGGGTGTGGTGTTTTTTGTTTGTTTGGGTTTTTTTAAAGCTCCTATATGCTGAACCCTTGTTGTTTGACCATGAAGTCTTTGCTATGCTGTGGCATTGCCATGTTAGCAGGATATTTGGATAGGAACTAGAAATTTTCACATTCCTCAGTTGTCCTGAAGTATTTAAACTTTGCTCTTTCAATCTTTCAGTCCTTAGTGCAAAGAAAATGGAAAGCTGTGTTATCTTAAAAGCTATCAGCACAATACAGAGCTGTAAAAATCAGTTATGTCTGAGATAGAAAGAGCCTGGATCATCACATTTCATGTATCTACAGCAACACCATACCATCCCTTACTCTCATGTATCTCACAGCTATAACCATAAGGGTTATACCTGTAGGGCATACTTTAAGGGTGACATCAGATTTACTACGATATCTAAACAGATAGTAATTTAGCAGTGTGAGCTCTGTATTTGAGCCCTGGTTACTTCCTTACTGTTGCTAAAGTTGTGTCAGATTCCAAACCCAAGCTTTTAGTTGCCTGAAAATTGAGCCATTTTGATGATGAATGTTTGGCTAGTTTTGTCCATTCTACCTTAGAGCATTGCTGTCTCACTTAATGACATGTTTACAGAGTGTTGTTCGTTACACCAAGGCCAGGCTTCATTCTAGCAATTGCAGAACTTTCAGCTACAGGAACCTAGTTAGACAAAGTGCTCTGTGTGACTGACACATCCTGATTTGTGTTTTCTCCTCTGTAAACCAGCTGGAACAGTAGGATTTCTGAATATTGCTGGGCTTGTAATCATAAGTTACTTTGAATTTTTTTTCTAGTATTATGCAGTTTGTCTAATGTGACTGCATACTTAGCTATACAGCTCAGCCTTATAGATCTATAGGCACAGATTTAAGTACTGCCAGTCTGAGTCTGTGATTGCTCAGGTCTCCCTCTGGAGCACTGGCTCTTGTATTGTGCCTGTGTCTCTGGAGCATTTAGTTATGCGATGCAGTGCTTTCTTTATCTGGCTCAGACTTTTCTAGACATTGGTGGTGGTACAAGCAATATTCAACTTTTTTGTTGGGTTTTTGGGTTGGTGGGTTAGTTGGTTTGATTTGGGGTTTTGTTTGGGGTTTTTTTTGCCTCAGTTTATGTGGAATGAGCTTTCTTTTTGCCAAAGCAGAAAAACCTTTATAGAAGACCTTGAAAGAGCAGCCCAGGTCTTAGATATAGTTACCTAATGAAAAAACCTGACTGTTATGCAGGAGATTTGTCTTTAAAAGCCTAGGTCAAGAATTATGCAGTCTTTTAGAGCGAGAACTGTACTGAGAGTGCAGAGCAGGTAAAATACAGCATAGCCATACTGGAAAAACACACTTAACTTACTTACAGACTGTATGAGCGAAATTGCAGCCCTGTGGTATGGTTATGTCTCATTCTCCCTGTGAGAAGCAAGTTATAGCTTAATAGGCACCCATTTGGTGACATAATTGTCTATCCTAAGGGTTCCTGCTGGCTCAGCTACATAGCTAGAGATCACACTGCTGAGTGGCAAAAGATTGCAAGTCAGACTTGGCTTATGGCTGTTTCTGAAAATCAGTCTTGTGCCTCTGCGTTTATGCACACATTCCCATTTCCAGTAGCAGTAGTACTCTGGACTATCCCAGAATGAGACAGGGAACATGTGACCTCTTTGTAGCGTTGGACATTGTAGCACAACTGCCTGAGTGTAGTGAAGAGCATGGGTAGGTTATCTAGCCCTGCTACTTGCTGTCAGGGAAAAGTCTAGGAGGGGGCAGTCTTTGTTTGCGGACAATACATCAAAGAGCATCTTCACAGCCAAGCAATTACTGTTTCTGCTGTTCAGAGGGATTTCTGTCACCTTAGGTTACCAGATGAGAGCCTTTCTAGCTGGAGGTTTGTCCACCTTTACTGAAGCAGGCATTTTCTGTCGCTCTGAAATTGAAATGTGACAGGTCTTCTCCTTCAGTATTTTTGTGGGATTTTTTTTTTTTTGTTTTCCCTGCTAGATTGCTCTTTTCCAGTCAGGAGGGTATTTAAGTAACTTCTTTCAGTCTCCTGTTTTGCCTAGTTGGCAGTCTGAACTCCCTTGATAATGGTACTGCTAAAATGCCATAGTCTCATGATGCTTGGGAAGCAAGGCTAAAAATCTGTTAAATTCCACAGGCTTGGGGAGAAAAATTTGAGCAAAACTTGCCAACAGCTTTTGCAGATTTATCTTGGCCCAGCAGTTACCCAGTATGTTAACAGCAAAACCCATGGAACTTGGAAAATCAATTACACAGTATGTGAAGCACCTCAACAATGTTCTGCAAAAAAATAGCGCAGTGCTGTGTAATCTACCACAATAGGCTGTGCAGGTTTCCGTTTGTCTTGAATGTCTTGGGCTCCAGGTTCCACGCTAGCAATGGCAGCAAGGATGTTGGCATTTTAGAACAGTTGTGTGTTTTTCCAAGCATCTAATATATGCTGTGCTTCCTCAAATTCAGTCGGAGGAGAATGTGCAACTCTGCAAAAATCCTGGGTTTTGTTTGGCTCCCAAATTGCTGTCAGCTGCAGAGTTTAGATTTTCCCATCTGACACTTCACTGTTTGTTTTTTCATTCTCCTGGGGTAGAAGAACATTAACGTGAGTCCTATTATGTCCCTGTCATGTCTAGGCTGTCACCTCATTGTTGTAAGGCAAAGGATTAACGTTGGAGTTGAGCATGCGGTGTCTCTGGATTACTTCTCTGTTCTGGTGCATTTCCGATTTACCACAATGTTGTTTCTAAACCTCAAAAGCTGAGTTTGAGATTTCACATGTGGCTTGCTGTGTGCAGACTCCAGCAGTTGCCTTGGTGCAAATCTCAGGTTTAATGCTTTTCATCCTCACTTGCAGCTAATTCTGGGATTTCGCATGCGCCGAGGTCATCTTGTCTCAGGAAAGTGGCTAGTTTCATATTTGGGGCTCCAAATGCTTTGCCTGTCAAATCTGATTGTAGCTGATGTCACGGTGCTCTTTGCCAGGAGCAGGAGGACCAAGAGTGTGGCAGATCTTGGTGATGGTCTCGCGTGTCCCTGCAGTACCACCCACTGGAGGGCAGCACAGGCTGCTCCAAGCCACCATGCTCAAGCGGTGTTGCCAGCTGTCTCCTGATTTTCATCCCGCATTTTATAGTGCTAGATTTCTGCTTTTTATTTTTCTTAGCCTGATGATTATTTGGGTTAGACTTTCAGAGCAAGAATTTAGTGGAGTTCACGTAGGTTATTTCAGCCTGGCCGTGAAATGCAAAAGGGCTCTACTGTTACGAACAAACTGTCTGATCCAGTGAGGCTAGTTACAGATAAACCACAAATAGGACAACTGAGGCCATATAGAAGGAGAGAAATACAGAGTTGAGCTTTGGTTATTAAGGGCCCTAGCTAAAAGGTATAAAAACATCTTCAGACTGTAGCGAGCTGTGTCTGTGTGCTTCGTTGTAAGTTGTTAGGTCTGTCTGCAGGTTGCTTCAGCCATGGAGAAGTGGAAGACAGCAATCCGTGAGGCCCAGACCTTCTCCCGTATGCACGTGCTGCTCGGGATGCTGGATGCCTGTATCAAGTGGGATATGTCGGCAGAGAATGCCAGATGCAAAGTGTGTCTATTCCTGCCCCACGCCTGCGTAACAGTCGGACGCTGTCACCTCTCCATGCCCTGCTTAGGCAACATGCCCTTGTAGTCTGTCACTCTGTCTTTGGCTGTATTTTGAGTTTTGAACATCAGGATTTACAGTCAGAAGCGTTGATCTCACAGAAGCATTTGACCCTGACTCCAATAAACCATTCTTACGAAACCAGTGCACAGTCTTGCAGAACATTGCAGAGCTGCTGTCCCCTGGATGTTTAGGGTACTTGGACACAAGTCATCTACAAATCCTTCTGGGAATACTTATGCCACTGTTCATTCCCTGGTGTCATTTTTTGAGTTGGAATGGTCTTTGAGGGTCTCTGAGCTTTGTCAGTTAATCCCATCTTTTACAGAAGGAACGAGCAAGGCGAGGTTGGGAAGGTTATTATCCTTTGTAGCTGGATGGAACAGAATGAGGTGGGATGATGCTACTTTGAGGCTAAAGTGGGAGTAGAACTATTTGATAAGCTGGACGCCTTACCAGCTGGTAAGGCTGGGGAGGTAACCAGATAGGTGACACGGGGCTACCTTCTCTGTATGCGCTATGAGATGAAGGGCTTTAGAGTCTTGCAGGTGGAGGGGGAAGTAGAAGGAGTGTCAGCAGTTACGGAGTGCTGGTATTTGCTCTGCCATAACCTCTCCTTGTGGATGAAAGCCTGGAGGAAAGAGCTTGGTAGTACATTCTGCCTCATCATGTGCTTTTTGTCTCACTTTCTATTTACTGAAACAGTAGTGGGAAATAAGGGCAGACAGACCTCTGGGGGAATGCTGGGCCACTTTTGTTTACCAAAAGGCTATGCCATCTTCAAAGAAATAAGGGCTGAATTGGTGCAACATGCTACTCCTTCGCTGTGAAGCCCCAGGGATTTTCCAAACCAATGCAAAAACTGTCCTATCTGCTGTTGAGAGGGGATTCTAAGCAGATGTAAGAGGGGGCTCACGTGAGACTTAACAGATTATAGTGTCACAGAATTTAAGAACTGGGATGTTAGAGAAAGAGATGTACTAGCAAGCTCTCTGCACTTTCTGGGTTTTTTTCCTCCTCAGTAAATGAAATGGCTGTCTCAGGACTGTCTCCCCATTTCCTTGCATCAGTGAGAAGGACAGAGAGACTAGTTCTGCTGCATACTGATTTTCTTTGTAGGCTTGCTATCTTAAATAGAAAGAAGATGCTCTGCAGGTTAATCAAACTGAGGCTAGAATAAGAATAGCTACATTTATAGCTTCTTGCTAGGCTCTTGGGCATCTTTGCAGCAAATTTCTCTTGCCCTGTGTTTGGCTTGAGATTTAACCTGGGTGGAACGTACATGGCAGGTTTCTACCTTTGCCTCAAATGAAATCTTTGCAGGGCAAGGGACTTTGCATTGCTTTGTTTGTTAGTTTTTAAATGCTGCTAGTTTCCACTGCAGTGGTGGAACCGAGAAGGAAGGGTCCTTGCTGTCAGAGGGTACTTTGCATCTTTCTCTTGCTTTGTCCCGACCTCCAGTGCTGCAGCAGCTTCTGCTTCTCAGGTTGAGCAAGGCTGTGACCCTTGTTACAAGTACGTTGCGCTCTCCTAGGTGAGGATGACAAGCTGATCCTGTGTGACGAGTGTAACAAAGCCTTCCACCTGTTTTGTCTGAGACCAGCACTCTATGAGATACCAGATGGTGAATGGCAGTGCCCAGCGTGTCAGCCTTCTACTGCCAGGCGCAGCTCACGAGGCAGGTGAGTGAACCTCCTTTCCTTTGCGTTGCCACTGATGCACAGTTCTAGCCATGCTTTCAACAAGATGACCAAACCAGCCTGAAGCAGAGCCCCTTTAAAAGGTTTGGAATAGCCTAGTTAACTCAATGGCACTGGAACAATAGACAAGCATTTTTTTTTCAGGCTATAACTTTAGCGCACCTGTGTTGTACTGACCCATGACAATTTCAGGAGTTTTAATAAGTAACTTCTGTTTGGCAGTGAAAACATGCACAAAATGTCAACCAAAATTGGATGCGCTAAGGGCTGTCATTTTCTTTGCCTGAACAGCTAGTTGGATTGCTTTTTCATGGCAGTGTAGTTGGTAGCATTGCAGCTCTGTAGTCTACTGGGCTGAGTTACTGTTGGGTTCTTGTCAAGTTAGAGCAGACATTATTCCAAGCTGCAGCTCAGCCCCTACTGTGCTACTGAAAATCGGGCTACAAAATGCCACTCTGATGGTTTTCTGGACCTGATAAACCTTAGCAAGGCAGGAGTCCTTGTAGGGTTACAGAGGGAACGCGATTTGAGAAGGAATCAAAGTTGTTGTATGTAGCAGAAATTAGTAGTTGCCCCCTGACAGCAAGGGGTTGAATTGTTTTTTGAATTGCAAGCTGGAAGTTAAATGTATGCGAGATGTATTTTTCTGTTTACAATATATGTCCTCTGCTGAGAGTGACTCTGCACTGTATCTACCTGCTTGTCAGCAAGGTGAGGATATCAAATGGCATCTGGAGCATAAGCAGTCAACAGATCCTCCCTTCCAGAGTGGCAGCACAGTAAGAGGTGCAGTAGCTTGTAATGTACAGGTGGTGTATGGCCTTAAAAGTATTACTTACTCCCTGGGCACCATTTAAGAGTCATCAGGCTTGTATAAAAATGACAGGGCTTCAATGCAGCTGTTCTAGCCTGAGATCATAGTTACTTTGATGTGGCAGAGTCACCTGCAAGCTGCTTGGCTCCTGGACGAGAGCCATCATGTGAGGTAACACCTGTCTTGTTATCTGCTTTCTGCTCTTGTCTACCTAGCTGAGGCAGGGAAAAAAGTCAGCCTGGGAGCACTTTTGGTGTGTCGTGTCCCCCCCTGCCCCCCAGTACTGTGGGAGCTTATTCTTACTCCTTTTACTGCTCAAGATCCTCTTTCTCCAGAGGACTGAGACTCCCACAACAGCTTTGTCTTTGTCCCCTTTTGCTTATGTATGCTGTTTTGTTTTCCTGTTTTTGTAATGGTTTTAATGCTTTAACAGACACATGTGAGAAGTTAGAAATGTCCTGCACAGAGTCTTTGTAGCTTCTGACATCAGCACATGAGAAGCCTGACACTCTGCTCACTAATAAATACAAGCTTAGCTGTGAATAATACTAGACAAGGTCTGTTTCCTATAGCGCACAATGCAAATGGGCTGACAGCAGAAGGAGATAATGGGAAAATATTCCAGCAGAAACAAAAAAGCCCCCCTCTCGAAACTCCTTAGGCCAGGCCTGCAGACCTCGGTGAAACAGCAGCATGTCCCCTCGGGGAGGAGTAATTACACAGCAATCACACTCTTAAAATCCATTATCACATGGTGAGGGTGCCTAGAACAGGAAAAAATATACAGATTCAGCTGTTGAGGATTTTCAGCCCAGATGTTCGGAGGGTGGCCTGGGAAGTGTATTTTTAGCTGTAGCTAAAACTTAAATACTCTGAAATACAGTGGACTGCTTCAGTCTGAGACTGGGTGTTTATTTTACACTGAGGTGGCCAGCAAGTCTCTGCCTGTGAACAAACAGTACAGAGGGCCCTGGGCCTCTAATGCCCAGGCTCTGGTCCAACAAATGTGTTTACCTGCTTTGCTCTAGGAACTATGCAGAGGATTCTGCTGAAGATGAAAGCGAAGAAGGTGAGGAAGCTTCTGATGAACCAGATGCTGAGGAGGAGGAGGAGGAGGAGGAAGAAGATTATGAAGTTGCTGGACTGAAATGTAAGGCTTTGACCATGCAGGAAAGTAACAGAAAATATTAAGACTCTGCCTTCAGTGTCCAAAGTATTAATCCTATTTGGGACTTGTGTTTTTCATCATGCAGAACAGGTTCTTTGGAAGAGTGGGAGATGTCACAGGGGAAGGCTGTGGTTGTGCTGTACGTTACCTGGGGAGCTGGAGTGAACTTTTGTCACTTTGTGATAAGATCAGCGCTAGCAAAGACTGAAACTGCAGTGAGCTCTCGCTGCCTGCCCAGTCACTCCGCTGGGGACAAAAGCATTAAGACTGCTGTGAGGCAGGCAGCAGACACAACCGTATTATCACTTACTCATATTGGCAATCTCTGCGCCTACAGGGTTTGTTGGTAAACTGGATGCTGTTAATAGATGCTTACGGAGCTTTAACCACAACACCCTGTCCTTGCTTTCTTCCTTCCCACCAGCTCCTAACCTCTTAAGTGCAGGATTTCTAGTGATTTGGCAAGGAGGCATTTTCAAGTAGTAGGACTAGTACTTCCTCTGCCCATTCCTGTGGGAAGGCACAGTACTCAAGGTATAGTGTGGCCTGGACTGCCAGCACCCTTTGATTGCATACAGGGACTACTTGGGATGCATTCCTGGGCAGCTGAGTGGAATAAAAGAGCATTTTCTAGACTCCTCAATGGCTGCTTCTCACTTAACCACTTTTTAGTATGTGTATTCAATTTGTTTTTAGGGGAATTTGACTCGGTCTCATGTGGACAACTCCATGCACTGAAAAGATCAATCTTGGAATGGCACTCTACCAGCATTTGTTTTTTGTCAAAATGCCCGTGACTGACATAAAATTAACTTCAGATTGTTTTAACCAGGGCAGATGGTAGAATCTGGAGACTGGGACCCAAAGGATTATCCGATGTTCTTTTGAGGGTTTCCATCCAGGTCTATCAGTCTTAATTCCCTTGCTTTATTCTGTTTTCAGGGATGTTCACTGATACCCTGGCTATGTACACTGCTTGTTGGTCTGCAGTGTATCCATGTCCACGCTTGGAGCGTGTTCAGCCTGTGTTGCATGGCCAAGTCAGGAGTTGAGCCAAGGTTTCCAAACAATAGAAAAAGCGGGTTACAGTCACTAAAAATAAAGCGCTAAATGCAACCCCAGGTTTTAAAGAGTATTAACATGGAAAGGTCACTGTGGAAAACTTTTGTTTTAATAGAGAAGTCCCATTAATCCTTGTGGCGTTTATCCTGCGGGATATAACCTAGAATGTTGGATTGTCAGACATTTAACACGTGCCTCACGCTTGACACACAAGCAGAGCGACAGCAGGCAGACGTCCCACTGCCCGGACACACGCTCCTCACGTGGGGGGCCCAGCAAGATGATTTACTGGACAGGGCTGGATTAGAGGCCGCAGATGAAATGCTCCAGCACGCTGGATACAGCTTGCTCAAGCACTTGTGACCAGGTGGAAGGAGCTTGGCTGGGGAAGACCAAACACATTCTCCTGATACAGAGGTGTCATGGGAGAAACTTAAGACAAGGGAGTGCATCAGCACGCTTGCATTTCCATCACTGTGAAGCTCTGACAGGCAGACTAACAACCAGGCAAGTGCCTTTCTATGGGATATATTGCAGCAGCCCTGGTCTTGGGGAATAAAATCCCATTGTTTCCCACTTGCAGCACGTGGAGCTGCTCCCGGCTGCAGTAACTCGACACTGCCCCTGCACACAGTTCACTTTTCCGGGGGGGCTTAGCAACTGGCTTATCCCACTGTGTGGGCCACTTGTAAATACTTGGAAAAGCACCCATCCCCAAACCTGTGAGGAGCAAGGGGCAGCAGGAAACAAGGGAAACTCCAAGTTTCTGCTCCCGGTGCTTTCTGAAGGGATGTTGCAGTTACATTTGAGACAACTGTCTGTCCTTTCATTACTTCCCCTGCCCTCCCTCGAGTCTCGATGCATCAGGGTCTCAGCACTTGGTTCTGCAGGCAGAGGGGCTTCCTGTTACAATTCTGGGCAAACCTTAACCTGCGGCAGAGAAGCTGGAAGTTCCCAGGTCTTCCTCAGAGCTCAAGGATCTGGCAGTGCTGTTGGCTGGTGTGTGCGGCCACCCTTGAGCAGAAGGCTGCTGCCAGACAGCAATGGCCTCTTTTTGGACAGGGGGGGATTACTCGCATATCTCATCTGGAGAGGGTATCAAGAGCACAGCTGACACGAGCATGTGCTGAGTGAGGTCAGGGTGACAAGAAGCTGGGTCGTATCAGTTGTCTGTGGGTTCATTAGCTCCTCTGTGCTGTGAGCGAGCTTCTGCCTGGTTTGTATGGCTGGGCAAAGGGCTTGTGATCTCTGCTTCCAGGTTGACCCGTTCCTCTAAGCCCATGGCTTATATGTTTCAGTGAGACCCAGAAAGGCAGCCCGGGGCAAGCAGAGCACAGCCATGTACTCCTCGAGGCAGGGAAGGCACCAAAGGAAGAAGCAGTCGCTGCACCCTGCCAGGGGACCCCGGCAGCGGGCTGCACCTGTCAACGGCGCAGACATTGATGAGCTGGTAAGAGCCGAATTGTTCCCTGGAGGCTGCTCACATCATGAGTTATAAACGAAACAGGTGTCATGCTTCCTTCCCTCCCTTCCCAAAGAAATACCCTGAATCATATTGTGAAACCTGGGCTGAGGTGGGGGTGGGTTAACAAAGGAGGCATATCCTTAAGGGCCCAGTACAAACTGGAGCAGAGATATGCCAGGCATCTTTCCCCAGCCGCTTTCATGCATTGTGCCCCTTGAGTAGCAGGCAGCCTGCAGCTTGTTAAAGGGTTTTAAATAGTATCCATATGTCTCTGCAGAGAGGTGGGGGGACCAAGGGGTTCCTGGATGGTCAGAGAATGCCAGCAATGTTGGACCGTTGCTCCCCAGCCTTAGCCGTTTTCTGACAGTTGTTGTCAGTATGGTTACTCCCCAACCTCCAGGACATAATTTGGCTGGTTTAGGTTTCACTTGACATTTAAAGAATAAAGCCCTATGCTCCTGAACAGAGCAATCTTGTGTGTGTGTGTGTGCTAGATGGGGTGGAGCTGCAGTGTGGTGTGCTGTTTGTCCTGGGGAGGGACACACCACAGGGGATATGTGAGGATACTCTGGCCCCATGGGCCACATCACAAGCTTCTGGTAGATCTGCCATCCGTCCACTGACCAGCACTAGTAGTGCTGATGGATTCTGTCACTCTTCTTCAGTGGTCTTGATCATGGTCTTTGGGCTCACTGCTTCTTACCCTGAGTGTGGGTGAGCTGGCTAGTGGATTTGTAGTGTCCTTTTAGCTGGTCTGTGTTACAGATTGGAGGGCAACCAAACCAGCAAGTCCAGCATGAGCTGCCACAGCCAGTTTAGAGGGATATTCAAGTGGGGAAAATCTTACTGGAATGGCTGGGTCAGGGTCTCTGACAAAACCCTGACTTGGGGAAGAGGACTCTGCTAGGGCTTTTTCACTTAGTGTTTGTCCTGGGAATAGACTGAAGCTGGCTCAGAAATAGTGCCCTGTATTGCAGAGCCTTCCCATCATCTGACGTACTCTAAGGAGCGATGCCTCATGAGCTGTGCGCTCAGAGCCGAGGGGATGTCCCTGTGCTGGTGGCTGACCTGCTGCAGATCCCTGGGCAAATGGCTGACCTTGTGTTCAGCCTGTGTACGGGACAGCGGTGCTGGAGGCATCAGCTGCTGTTTGGTATTTAAAATGGCATGGTCGGCTCTGCAATGTCAGTACAGCAGCACAAGTGCTCTCTCCCTCTGCTTCTCACGTGCTGTCTGCCGGGGGCTTGGAGAAGGCAGGGAGAGGGAATTTACTCTGTTTGCTGTCATTTATTCTTTGGCTGCTTTGTCTTTGAACCTATCTTGAAAAGGCTTTGCTGGCCCCAGAGAAAAAACAGGCTACTTGTGAGCTATTCCTACCAGAACTTCTGGATGGGGCTCCTGTTCTCAAGCTGCTGCTGCATGTCTTGGCTCTTACCATCAAAAGGTACTGCAGCAGAGCAGTTTGCCTCTTGATTATTGTGGAAGATGGTTGCATTTGAAAGACTTGAACTTGGTTTCTGCAGCAGTCCTACGTATCCCCAGCCATTGAGACGCTAGCTCGTAGGTGAGAGGATTGGAAGGAAAAGCTCTGCTAAGAACGAGCTCCTTTGACCTCAATACCGTTTGCTGAACACTAAAGCCTGTAGTGGTTCCCTCCTTTTAACAGCATCCTTTGTATGGGCAGGTCCTTCAAACCAAGAAGACAGCACGTCGCCAAAACCTTGAGTTACAGAAGTGTGAGGAAATCCTCAGCAAGCTGATCAAGTACCGCTTTAGCTGGCCCTTCAGGTGAGGGCAGGTGGCCTCATTCTCCATGGGCGCAGGACTGTCCACAGGCAGTGTGTAGTTTGTAGGCTGGCCATGCTGCAATCCTGCTGGATCTACTTGTTGGCTGCGAGACCAGGGTTTCAAAAACAAGTTACAGGTGGGGAAGAAAGCAGCTCAAGAAGAAACCACCACGCTCTCTCAGTCCTCTGCTGGACTGAAGACATGGGGCCCTTCTGAGATGGTGTAACAGAAGGTGGGAGGCTGGGGTGGGTGCTTTCTGCAGCCCTCAGGATTTGCAGGGCACTCTGTATGCAGCGTGACTGAGAGAAGGTACCCATACCTGCCAAGTGCCAGTCCCCATGCCTGGACCAGCTCTCTGGGTGGAAAGACAAGCTGCTGTCCTTCCCATCGTCATGCCGTGGCTGCCATGGGGCTGTCATATCTGTAGCACTGTCGAGCTACTGTCATATCTGTAGCACTGTTGAGGTGCTGCTTGGGCTTGTTACGGCACTGCTGGGGTGCGGGTCAGGGTTGCCGCTCGAGCAAAGGGGGTGGGGGGATGATTCTCGCTCCTCTACAGCTCTGCGCTGTGTGCGGCCAGGGCCGTCATTTTCCTCCTATCTTTGTGGCTCTTCATTCGGCAGGGAGCCAGTGACCACGGAGGAAGCTGAAGATTACTTTGAGGTCATCAGCAACCCTATGGACTTCCAGACTATGCAGAGCAAGTGCTCTTGTGGCAATTACCGCTCGGTGCAGGAGTTCCTCTCTGACATCAAGCAGGTGTTCTCCAACGCTGAGCGCTACAACCAGAACGGGAGTCACGTACTGTCCTGCCTGGAGAAGACGGAACAGTGTTTGATTGACATGGTGCACAAACACCTGCCTGGCCACACGTATGCACGCAGGAAACGCAAGAAGCTCTCTGCCAGGTGCCAAGGACTGGAGGAGCAGGAAGGGGACAGTGAGTCAGAGCCCCTTGAACATCCCCAGGGGCGGAAAAGGAAGAAATGAGGGTTGGGGAGACAAGGGGGAGAGCCAGAGCTGGAGCAGGCCTTCTGGTGCTGCGGGGCAGCAGGATGGGTTGTCTGGAGGGAGTTGGGAAGCAGCAGTCACTTCTCTGTTAATCAAGCCTTCCCTTTGGCCTGTCCTAGTTTTAATTTTTCTGCAATTTCCTCAAGTATTTGATCATTCATTGAGTGATCAGAGATGACTTACTGCTTCCTGCAAAATCCACCAAGCTCTTTGAGTCTGTCTGCTAGGAGAGGAAGGTGGGAGGGCAAGGGGCAAGCCTGACCAAAGCCTGGCTGGGCAGGGAAGCACAAAGCCTACTCCAGCTTGGGCCCTCTCGGCTTCCCTGGGATGAGCCGCTTCCTCCCCTCCACAAGCAGCCAGCGCCGGAGCACGGTGGGACCTCTGCCATCTGCTGCCTGTGATGCGCAACCAGCCTTGAGCTGGTGCAGGGAGGGATCATATTGCTTCACAGAAGGACTGGGTGCGACCAGGCCAATGGGCTGCTAGTTCTTGTATGTATATATTTATATGGTGTTAATTTTGAGCCCCCAACTAAGGGCTGCATAGGGTGAGCAAGCACTTACATTTATGGAGATAATGGCTTTCACCAGCATCCTAACACAATTGGCTTCAAGGTGCTCTTGCTTTCCCCCCCCCGCCCCTCTCTTCTCGGGGAGCGATCTCTGGAGGTTGCTCTCCAAAGAGGGTTCTTCTGAGCTCAGCTCTTCACACGTACACGGCAAAGAGGAGGCAGTTGGCTTCCCTGCTCACCTTGAACAGCACACAATCACGTAGCCCTTTGGATGAACCGAGTGCCAGAAGCATACTGGAGAGCGTGGCTTTCTGCACACCCCGTAGGGAGCTCCAGGGCAAGGGGAGCAGCAGAAACATGTTCTGTGTAACTTCTTAAATTAATTTTCTAGTTAAAAGTGGCTTGTTTCTAGCTGTGATCTTGTACAAAGAACACCTGTAAGATACCGTTGTCTTGCTTTGGCACATGTACAGTTTATATGAAATCGTGTTTGCTTTATATTCTTCCCCTTCTTTAAAACTCATTTTCCTACCAGTAGCTGGAGTTACACCAGGGGACTTGTTGGTGGGGGGAGGGTGGGGTCTCCCAGTCTCTCTCTAGCCACGCTCTCACCGTGTTTTGTAGTAATACCCTCCCTAGCTCACCTCCCTCACACTTGCCCAGCGCAGCAGGGACTGTCCCGCAGTGGCTGACCAGCCCAGTCCTGCTGGGAGGCTGCTCTGCCGCAGCCCCAGCAGTGGGTCCCACTGCCTGAGATACTGACTTTTTCTCTAAGAAAAAAACCCTCTCCATCATGACAGGTTTTGATCACACAATCAGGGCTTGAACTTTTTATTATAGAAGTCTTCAGTTTGGAACAAATCAGCCCCAGGGCTGCTCTATACTGGTTTTGTAACAGAAAAGCAAAAGCAGCTGTTGCAGCTCCTGTGATTTGAGAAGAAAAGACTCATCAATTAAAAATTGCAGCCTAGTTTTGTGAACTTGTTTGTTTGTTTGTTTGTTTGTTTTTTAACAGGTATTCGTTTCAATTCTGGACTGTCGATGGCTGCAGAGACTAGGCAGGTTTCCAGCCACTTCCCTCTTCCCCTCGGCCCAGCCTCAGCTCCCTGCCCCACAGAATAGCACTGACGTTTGTATTTCGCACATCCCCTTCAGAGGCTTTGTTTTGTCCTGTTCATAGAGAACATTTTCTGCAGGTCCTACACCGTGAAACCTTTGGAACTGTACGTTTTTGGTTTTTTTAAATAAATGTCATTTGGGGGGGAGGGCGTTTCTGCTAAGGGCTGTACTTGTAATAAATTGGAAACAAAAATAAACATTATGTACTTGTGTTTGTAAAACCGGACTGCAGTGAGTCCTTTGCGGGCACGATGTGTTCGTGTGGGACTGTCTGGGATGTATTGCCTCTGCCTTCCCCAGAGCCCCTATCAGACATGATATTGCTGCCTTCTGAAGGGAAAATGGAGCCGCAGAGCAAGGAATCGAGGGAACAGCGAGTCTGGGTCAAGTCAGCTTGCAACTCTGAAGAACCATCTCCTAGGTCTCCTGCTCAGGTTTGGTTATACCAGCCCCTGGGTATTGCAGCCGGGTTGTGCCATGCCCTCTGCGGCAGGGCTGCCGTCGCACACCACTCTTCTTCCTAAGTTGTGCTGGGCAGAAGGCGATGTTATGGAACGGACACGTGTGCTCTGAGCAGGCCCTGTTTATCGTTCTCCCCAGAGATGACAGATGGGGCTGTGCTCTTCCTGCCCCTGGACAGGGGGAGGTCGCTGGGATGCAGGAACTGTCCTTGGGCTGGCCAACGCCTTTCAGTCCCTTGTCTCCTGCGGGCTGCCAGTGTGACACTTGTCCTCCTGCCACAGCGTGCAGGGTGGCACTGGGTAGCTCTGCTGAAGGAAATACAAGGGGGTGATGAGGGAAGCTAAAATGTCTCTGCTCTCTCACTCCAGTGTTGCTTGGCCAGATGGCCATCAAAACTGCTTCCCTTGTTTTGTTAGTGTGTGTTTTGCAACCACAGCCTTATTGGCTGCAGCTCGGAGATCAGCAAGGACTGTTGCTGCTGTGTCTCTGAAAGCATGGCCCCCAGCCCACCAGCCTGGTCTCTAGCAGCATAATGGGGACACGGGGCTCCCTGAGATGAGCTTCAAAGGCAGCACAGGCCGGGGAGGTGAAGAACTGGTGCTGACATCCAACCTGTCATCTCTGAAAGAAATGCCTGTGTTTCTGCCGGTGCTGCGCTGCCAGGACAGTGATGGTTTCCTGGGTGGCTTCATCATCCTCCTTGCTCAGGAGCTGACCTGGGAGCGCTGAAGCCAGGTCCAGCCCTGCTGGGCAGAGGAAATCACCTGATGGGTTTGAGGGCTTGAAGACTCTCAGCAATGGGCAGATGCTGCTTTCCCCAGAGAAGCCTCATCCCCTCTCCACAAGAGGTGGTTTGCCTTGCTGGGCATGCAACAGGACCTTGGTGAATCAGAGCGTGACTCAAGCTGGGATGTTTCCAGGCCTCAGCGTGGAGACCTCACACCAGCATCTGCTCCGAGACCTTTTCAGAGCCTTGCTTTTTATAGCAGCCCCTGCATGGCATCGGTGTCCTGTGCAGGGGCTATAAATAGCTGTCCCCACACCTGGCAGGCAGCCACAGCCCTGTTGCCCACTGGCACTACGGGGTGGGGGAAGGTCACCAGCCCAGCTGCACCCCCCATCTCACCAGGGCTGGCCTGTGACAAAGCCCAGCAGAGCACCTCTGTTTTCTGGAGTTCCAGCACAGCCTCAGGAGGAGGCCATGTGGGGGGGCACAGTGGGTGAGAAGCCTTGAGCTTGGCCCCCCCCTTGATTTCCTCATGGCTTAGTCATTAATATTAACAAATTAATAGTCTGGGTAACTTGGGATTTTTAGCACATTCCCAGAGCACAGCGACTTTCCCTCTGCTACTCAAAACCTGGAGGGAGCATCCTGCCTTGCGGGGGGCAGGGGGGATAACATCCGCAGCCCAGCGAGTGCTGGGAGGCACTAGGCTCAAATTCTCCATCCTTAGCTGGACCAGGACCTTGGGGTGTCCTGAGCCCACCCTCATGCAGTGGCAGCCCTGGCTCAGCCTCTGCACCCATCCCTCCTGCTGGCACTGGGGATGGGCAACCATGGCAGCAGTGCCCTGCTTGCCCCTTGCAGAGGGGCTTCTGCAGCCACCCCAACCCAGCTGGAGCTGGGCGTTTGGCTGCCTTTGCAGCTGCCCCAAGTAGGATGGAGAGGGGATACAGGGATGATTTTGGGGCGGGGAGGGACACACACAGTATATGGAGGAAGGCT